AGACTCTATTAAAATTCACGATTCTCTTACACAGTCTGACTATGGGTAGGATCTAAGTTTAAAAAATTAAACTTAGACCCGACCCAAACATATTAGGTCTGGATTGAATTTGGGTAAGATCCTATCCATTAACATGCTCAGTAACAACATATGAAGCTAAATCAATTTACTTTCTTAATTGACACTGTGCATATGAATGTGGGGATAGAAGTTGCATGCATTTGTTGCAAGGCACCAAAATCTAGTATTGAAATGAAAAAACAAAGAAAAAAATAATACCTCATAGGAATAAAATGTTTAATAAAATTAGTTACTTTTCTATTAGTATATTTACCCTACCCAAATATTTACTTCCTTTAGTTAGTATATTTATTTCAAACTATATACTTCCTTTAGTTTAATCAAACTCCTTTAGTTAGTATATACTACTTCTTTTAGTTTAATCAAACAACAGTCTTTTTCATTTTAAATACCTCAAACTAACTAAAGGAAGTCTGAAATTGTTCAGAAACGAATACTGTAATTGGACACAAGAGGAAGTATATATCATAAAGAGAAAAGGACAAGTATTTTCTGTACTTAAACAAAGAAATTTTACACCTCACATTTCAAAAAGATTGCCTGAAACAAAAGAAAATAAAAAAGAAATTATTGGCTTTGAAGAATGCTAATGGCCTGGAAATTGAAAAGGAGATAGCCGGAATGAGGGACGATTTGTTGCCGTCTCAAACCGGCTTGGTGTGATTTTCTCTCACTTGTTCTACTTGTGCAATTCAATTTTATTGTAAAATTTAATCGAAACAACCCAATCTTTTATCTATACAAAATTTGTATGATAAACTCTGTTGTCCATCTTTCCCTAAACTAAATGTTTTGGTCTAGTTGATATCTTCTAGTGAAAGGATTTTGCTTGCGACCATATGTTGGTATCAATGATCAGAGTCCAGAGTTTTGGTTTATAGGATATACAAAATTGATGTGGGGCAAAAGGAAAGAGAGAAGTTCCACACACACGAGTGCGGACGGGTCAGAGTTGATTTGCCTAATTGCTGAAGTCTTCTTTATTTGGTTGATGATTTACGTTCGTTAACACAAGAATTGGTTACAGACAATACCATATTTCTAGACCTAATCGGTAACTTAAAAATTTAAAGCAAGATTTATAGGATCGACATTATCACAAGAATTCTTTTTTGCTATTAAGAGATATGACAACGGAACAAACTGTTATGAGATCAAAGGTACAAGTGGAACATATGCTATAGAAGGCATATGGTGTTCAATCATTTCCTACTTTCCCTAGCTGATACAATTTGCTCTCGCTGATTTTGTTTGACTGAATTCCTACCTTAGCATGGAATGCTCATATCATCTCTTACAACTGTCACCATAATACCCAGATTTCACTCCCCAAAATATGATTGCCAAAATTGGAATTGGTATAAGTGGGGAGGCATTCTTTACAATTATATCAAGAATTTGAGTACTAAAGTGCAAATTGCCTTGATACATATCTTCCCCACCGCTCCTATGTATCAATTTTGTGCTCTCATTTTGTAGAAAGAAACAAAGGGAATAACAGAACAGCTTCAGGAGGAGAAACTAAGGGTCCAAATCCACCAGAGTCTAATTGATTTAAGGTAACTAATGTATAGAATTGAATTTTATGAGCTGAACTTGATAGGATTTGGTGATCTTTTATGAACCAAATTTGAGTTGATAACTTCTAGCCGGGAAAATTGAAGTTGGACAGCTATAAACCAATTTTGTGGGTATGATTTCTTGCATATGTTGCTATTAACTTGTAACCAAACATCTGATGTGGGTAGATGTATGAAACTGAAGAGATTTTAGATGGTAATGGCCAAGAAACCTTGAGTTCTAACTAACCCCAAGGTTGACAGTCACCTTTGCGCAGCTTTAGTAAATAGGCCATAACTTGAGATGGAAAACTCAAAATTGGGCAACGTCAATTGCATTAGAAACTAGACTTAGAGATCTTTCCAGTGGTATAAAAATCAAGCTCTGGTTCATTGCCTACTAATACCAGAAAATTTGCAAATTTCATTGGAAATCAGAACCTGCGCAGTTAGAGACTGGAAATTGCACGTACTTGTGGCCCAACTTAGAACCATCTATTGATTGATTCGCTAAATGATCCCTTGTAGATATATTTAGTATTTCAATTGTGGGTTCTAATGCCTCCAATTTTGCGGTGATTTGACATATATATCCAGAGTTATGCATGTTTAATCGACAACTGCATTTGCTGAAACTTCCACCCTGCACAACATAAGAACTTGAAAGTGTACCAAATTGTGACTGAATTTAGATAAGCTTATGATATAAATCTCTCAGTAGTTTCTTCTGAAGGTAGTTAGAGCCTTGTTTCTAGTTTATAACAGTGTGAAATTTAGAATTTTCTGAAGTATACAGCCCATGTTACACATGTTTAATTGAACTTTGTCCATGCTGAAAATGATGGAGAGCAGTGTAGCTCTATAGTCGACTTAAGTATAATGGCATAACTCTTGAAACGATATACATTCTTGATTACTGCTAGGAGTTTCAACAGATGGTTATTATTCTGATTTTATTGTTTTAGGAGAAGGATAAAGAGAATTTGGGTGACACTCTCTTGACTAACGAGTAAGTGGCTCTTTCATATCTCTATAATTTTTAAAATGTCTTTAAATTTTTTTTTATTTGTCAGTTGTTACAGAAAATATATTTTGTTATACTAAATTGGATTGAGCATGTGTAATTTTTTTACAACTATGTGCATATGAATAACTATATTACTTGTTTAAAAGTGATTGTTATGCAATATTTTGGATATCATTGGACGTGCTTAAATAAGTAAATGACACGAAAAGGCTCTAAAATTGTTATATTTGAATACTGGTAGCCCTTTCACAGGATATAATAGTGGACAAATGACCCTATCACGGGAAAAAAGAGTGACCGTAGTAATTATCTAGAACTATATTTTTAACCGGTATGTGGCCCTACCACGAAAAATAATAGTGGTATTTAATAGTCTTGTCATGAGATATAATGGTGACCGTGGTATATTTTTGAGCTAAACGCAAAATGAAAAGATACAACATTCCATGGATTATAATTAAAGAACAATAAAATATGAATCTATGCACAGTTATGCATTGTATATGCAAGATGCATGCACTGTTTTAATTGTGATTGAATTCTAAGAAATAATTTTATTAAATGTTATTTATAATATTAATATACTCAATCTATTAAAGATACATTTGAGCTACTTATTGAGTAAATTGATGATCACCCCACCTAATTTTTTCTGTCCTGCAGATGAGGATCAAATGCATGATCGATTGAAGACTAGTTTGATCAGAGTATGTTTCTAGCGTTGAATTTTGCAAAAATGTAGCTTGTATGACTTTTGTACCCTAGTAATGCATGTATGTCAAGAGTTTAATGTGAAAATTTGTACGAATGACTTTTTGTGTTTGAAACTTTGGTAAACACATTTAAAGATTTATGTAATTATTGATATATTTATAAATTCAACAGACGCCGGTATATCCTCTCAGGAGTGTATATCGGTGCCACGCTCCAAAATATAAGTTAATAAATTTTTAAATACGATTATCGGATTTGAGGCGAGACAGACAGTCCCATCCCAAGCAAATGAATGCCTGAATTCCTAGAGAACCACATTTTTGCGGCAAACTGTTGGCTCCATTCGGACAAAAAATCCCGCATGCCATGTCCTGATCAAATCCGAATAGTTAGTCCTCCTCATGCTGCTTGGCAGACTAGAATATTTTGATCTGCATGCAGTTTTGACATTCTCAGGATAGAAAGCAGGACCAATCTTACTGGTTTTCAATCACATTTATAACTTATTTCCTGTAAAAAGATTTTGACTAGACTACGAGTAATAAAAGTCAAGAAATGTCGACATTTTTCTTGCAGAAAAAGAACAAAAATTACCTTCCTTTTATTTATCTCCAACAATTGCAGCAATTGCTGTCTGCAGCTCAAGTCAAACCCTGTTGCTCGTATAACATGCTAAGGTTAGTTTTTCTTTGGGACATAACAAAGTGTTAATGTATTAACAATTGAAACTGATGTCAGTCAAGCTTGTGCTGCACAAGGAAATGCAGAAGGAGCAGTATCAAACCTGAAAAATTCATGTGTTCATGCGTTCCTTGTTGACAATTTGATTAAACTCGTTTACAGCACCCTAACTATGACTGTTGGTTTTCTTCATGTGTTTCTTGTTAAGTAAATAGAATATCAATTAAAATCAATGAAGAAACAAAGAATACAAAGCCAAAAATCTCTAACTATTATCACAAATATTGCTTGCATAATATTAATGATACCATTGCCTTGGGAAAGGGTTGTGTTGGATGATAGGGTGGAAGGAATTGTAAATCGGAAGTTCTGAATTTGAGACCTCTCACTTAAAAAAAAAAAGAAAAAAAGGACGCCATCGCCTTAATTCACAAACTCTTCTAATTAAGCCATAATAAGATGCCTGTTTCTTTTTTAGAGTATCAGTTTTCTTCACATACTTCTTGTTAATCAATTACTAAAGCAAATAAAATCAATCAATAAAGGGAAGAGTATTAAACTAGAAAGGTGTGATTCATTTCACATAATAAATTGCTTGCATGATACTTCGAGATACGATTGACCAATTTCGCCAACCTGTTTCTAGTATAATACCTTGATTATTTGTATACCCAAAAGTGAGCATAGAAGAAAGCAATGTACTATGCATCAGTCTCCAGAGGTTCCATCCAACTCCAAATCCATTGGGCCTAATGAACGTAATTACAATCTTCGCCTAAATCCGCCGAAAATTAAATGATAAACCAAAAATAATGAAAAGCACACAAAGGTACAAAAAATGAAAAAATGGAACCAAGTCTAGACCAACATGAAATTTCCACCAGGCATGCACCCTTCAGACTTTACCAATGACTAAAAAATAAAAATCAATATACTTCGTCAATCAAATGACATTCTTCACCTAAATCAATTGAAAATTACATGTATAGCAAGATGAAAATAATACATGCACTCTCACAAAGCATATTATGCACACATTGAACAAAATTCTGCATATTTGTTTACTAACAAATAACAGAGCTCATCCTTGTTCAGAAAAGGGAATGGTGCACATAAAAGAATAAACTGCAAAAATCTAAACTTGGCAGCCTAATATGTGGATCCATCCAAGTCTGTGACTGCTACTCTCTTAGGCTAGACTAAAGATAAGCCTAATTATCAAATAATTGGCACCAAAGCTAAAATTCCTCAAATCACAACAAAGTAAAACTGGAATGGAGAAATTATGACACCCTGGCAGGTCTACGTGTTGTACATATGCGAGGAAGGTAATCAAAAAAAAAAAAAAAAGGAAGATCACTTAGGCTCCATGTTAGATGAAAGTCTCATGCGCAGTTTTGAATGAGAGATAGAAGTGATGCATCTCCGTTTCGACTCTCACTCTCCCATCATCATTTGCTGAGTACCTGAAGATCCAAAACTCCTACAAGGTCTTGATTAATGAAGAACCGACAAAATTTGAATTCCAGAAAAGAACAGATCAAGGTAGACCCAAAAACCCGGTCCTCCATCAAGATCCATTGCTCGCTAGGTTTATTCTCATTGTGACTTATTGATTTCAAGGTCAAATAAATGCTTTTTGTACAACATACCAATTTCAAAGTCGTCATTCAGTCAAACTCATATTTGGTACCTCATCAGCTATATTGGTCCTTCCCACAAGATAGAATCTTAGCTACAGAACTCCTGGACTTTCACATATACCAAGTCTCACTTATTGCTCTTGGCATTGTTGCATGTCCAACAACTTGGCACTATGACCGTTCAGTTCTATCAAAAAGTTATAGCCCATCAGAACTTAGACTTTCTCAACTTTTGATCTCAACAATCTCAGTTTCACCATCACTATAATCTCCCCAACATTTAGTTTTAGTCTTCTCCACCAGAATGCTACCACAGCTTTCTTTTGCAGCAACAATCTCAGGAATTTGGGTTGCCGTATCTGTGGTCTTTTTTTCAGGATCTGTACATGACTTTTCGGCAACTCCAGACTCATCATCACATGGTTTTTCACCATCATCAGATTGATTCTCTTCAACTTTCTCGACTATTGAGCTTTCACCTGTCAAGTTCATGGAGGACTCCTCTTTACATCCATCTGATCCTACTTCATTCTGACCTTCAACATGTTCTGCAACTGAACGAGTTTCTACAGATTCTACTGGTACTGGTAACCCATTTTGAGTCACAGGAAAAACATGGGAGGGTGCTGAAGAGCCATTTGGTGAAACTAGTACACCATTTTGGGGTATAGGATAAGCATTTGGTGATACAGCAGTACAATTTGAATAAACTATATAACCATTTGGAGCAATTGGATAACCATTTGGAACCCATGGCTGGCCAGGGACAAACTCAGATGCATGTGGGTTCATTACTCGTGGCAGGCTGAAATGACTTGCATCCCCATTATGTTCATCACTGTGGTAAACAGTTTTATTACGTGGTACCCGATTTCTTGATCCAGTATAGCCACCTGAGAGTCGGGGACCATATGGAACTCTTGCAGTTGCTGACTGATGTGGTGATCTATGAGCTGGACTAACTGGAAGCAGTGGTAGAATATTTACAGGAGGGGGCAATAATCCTCCAAGCTCTTTAAAGCTTTGCGCTGGAACTGAGCCAAAAACTGGAACTGATGATGGATTAAATGGAGAAGCAGCTGCAGAAAGCTTCTTGCTTGTTCCTTTTCCAGTCTCAGAATCCCCTTGTTTTACTCCTCCATTGGATAAAGAACTTGCAATTTCTTTATCTTCGTTTGCTTCATTTTCAGCAGAAAGCTTCTCCTGTATAGCTTCTACTTCGTCTTTTGGGTTAAATTCATGTTTTTGTGACAGCGGGGTGGTATTTTCTGCTGAAGTAGAAATAGATTCATTCTCAGACGACGCTTCCTTACATTTGCCACCCGGTCTTTCAGACACTTCCACTTTGGAAGTGCCAAGTTCTGACTTTTCAGAAGAACTAGAATTCTCACCTTCCAAAACAGAACCTTGCCCGGCTTCTCCTTCCTTGCTTTCAACAATACTCCTTTCTTGTTTACCCTCAGTGACTTCAGATCCTTTTCCTTTAGAATCTTCAGTTTCATCTCCTTCTAAAGATTTTACTAAGGTAGTAGCTATCTCTTCTATTTGTTCTTTTCTGTTGGAATCTTCATCCATTTGCCCATCAAGATCCACTGTTGATTTCTCTTCGATGGGACTGTTCACTTGTATTTCCTCCCCATTATTCCTTTCTATTACTTCACTTTTAGATGCCACACCTGTCTCCTTCCTTATGGGAAGACTTGCTTCTACAGAACTTTCATTTGGAGACTTTTCAGTCACTGCCTTCACTATTGTACCAGGTGGAGCTAAAGCAACTTCTTTGTAGGAAAAATGTTTTCCAGCTGTCTGAATACTGACCGAACTTATGGTTTCATCAGCCTTACTCACCAGATCAGTAGAAGCAGGGCTCACAGGGGCTGATTTTGGGTTAGCTGATTTTTCTACACCACCAATTGAAATTGCAGGATTAATTGACTTTGGACTGAAGCTAGAACTCTTCCCGAACTTCTTTGGAGCAGGAGTAAGTGTGGAAGCAGCAGCAGACTCATTAGATGATGTCCTTGGAGATGAGAAAGTGGTGCTTTTACCATGGAATTTGGATACCTGAGAAGTGTTCGTTAAGTTGGTGTGCAGTTTTGCGAGGTTGGGCCTCCTTAAGCCAGGAGGCTTTCGGCCCATCGATGAGCGACCCTTAGGTAAAGCTTCTTGCCATCCTTCTTCAGATCTATTATCCTGCACAAGATCATCAGGTTCATTTAATATTGTTTGCTCTGCTGGAAATAAATCATGGTTCTTGTCAATAGTTTCCATAAATAGAAGCTCAGATTTGTTCTCTTTATCACTCGAATTCTCCACCACAGAATGAGCTGGTGATAGCAATTCATCCTTGTTATATTTATCTTCAACAGCCTCCCCATATTGTCCTATTTTGCCTTTAACCTGTGTCATAATTATGATATTCATCAGAATATAGCAGCATACAAAGAAGATCAGTAACTTAAAAGTACATGTAAGAATCAAAGAATTACTAAAGATTTTGACCTTTGCACGAGCTTGTTTCTTTTGGGCATCCCTTACTTCATCCGGCGTTATGTAATCCAGCAAATCTGACACACTAATACAACGAAAAAGTGGAACTACATAATCATGATCTATAGAATCCAAAATGCAGTAACAGCAATTTTCACAATTTAATTCTTCTATATTTGCTATGCAAATTATGGTACCAGAATGGGATTATTTAGTTTAAAACCAGTTTGAAGTCAGCTCTTTATGTTTGGCTAGCATGATGGGATTATTTAGTTTAAAACCAGTTTGAAGTCGGCTCTTTATATTTGGCTAGTATAAGTGTATGCAGTGAAGGTTTACCAAGTCCTATATAGAACTTGAGCATGACAAACAGGTTTTTGATTGAGCAAACACTTATAAAATCCATGAATTTGAGGCAGTCGAGGTTCAAGTGTTTCCATTAACCCCCATTATAAGAGATGATTCCAATTTAAGTATCTTCTCCCAGGATAGAAAATGCAAAATGGGAATGAAACTAATAAACAGAATATCACCTTAAATGTCCTTTGCTAGAAATAGAGGCATCTGGTTTTGGGGTACCATTGCGAGCTGCTTCTTGCTGCTCCAGGGCCTTTGACTCAAAATATTCAAGCCACGCAGCCGCATCCTGAAGAAACATCTGATAAGATCGAAATAGTAATCAACTGAAAGCTATTTAAGCTTTATTGAAAGATAATTTGTATCACCTGTGTACGAAGATCATCTGGCCCAAGTTTTGCCTGCAGTATTTGAAGAGTGGTTTGTTCATGCTGAACACTCAGTGAATATGCTTCCATCAAAGAGAGAGCAATTGCTATAGCATGATAGCTGGCTGCAGTCTGAAGAGCCACAAATGTCAGTTTTAACATCCTCGAGGCAAGTTAGCATCAATCATAATCAATGCATAAACATAAGGCAGAGAAAAGAAGACAGAAAAACAAGTCTTTTGTTTTTGTTTAAATTTCTGCAAAGACATGCCTGCTAATTTTCTAAAATCGGATATACAGAAAATTAGTTTGTGTAGATGTACATGAACAACATTTCCAAAACCAACCAACATTTACAACTACAAATTGACAGCAATGATAATAATAGACAGAGATGCAACACATGTGGAAATTCACAGCACCGAATCAACCCCAGATAGTTTGATCAACTCTTTCATGAGATCATATCAGGTGTTTTTCATGGACCCATGGACATGTGCATGAGTCCATGAAAGCAGTCATTCAAGTGGGAGAGGAGGTTAAGAATTCGTTATACTTTTTAATGAACAAATTTCAAATCGGTGGTAATTTTCCTAACAACCATTACTATGTGCACTAAGTGCGATTCTTCTAGATATTAGCAAGACATCTGCTGGAATATAGCAGAAAAGGGTCTTGTAACCTTTGCAGCTAAATTCAGTACTTTATGGTGTGTCCCCCTTCATTACGCCTCCCTTAGTAGGATGAATCAGTAGCCCTTGATTTTTTGGTCTTGAACTTTTGAATACATATATACAATACATATAATTTACAATATATATGCATATTGATGTGTGTGTGTGTGTGTGTGTGTGTGTGTGTGTGGAGAGAGAGAGAGAGAGAGGACCTGGATATGATCAGCTCCAAGAAGTCTTTGATTGCATTTAAGAGCCTCATGGAGGTACCTCAGAGCAACATGGACATTGCCCAAACCTTCTTCCATCATTGCAACATTAATGTAAGTCGCAGCCGTATTTGGATGAGATGGTCCACAAGTTAGATGCAAGAGATACAATGCGCGATTGACATACCTATAAGCAAACAGAGAAAATATTAGCCAATGAAAAAACAAATGATCATGAAAACATCTATGCTTCAACATTTCAACACTCAGAGATAGTCCTTAGCACCATGATTTGCCTCGTACAAGACTTGGTATTACTCTATCTAAATGCTCAAGGAAATCTTTCGCACCTATTTGTAATAAAAGTAAACAGATTTCACTTCGGATTTAGCAAATTTAAGTCTTCCAATCAGCCAGGAAACAGAAAATATGCCAAACAAAAATAAACAGATGAAAGTAAAAAAGAAACCAGAAAGACATAAAGAGTCTTCATGCTTCTTATGGCGTCCATGTAAACTGATTTTGCATACCTGCTTTTCTTACATACTGTCAAGCAAGAATTAAGAAACTAAATTAACTGCTATTATCACTTCCATAGGGAATGAATCCCGTTAAGAATATTCTATTTAGTCAAGAACTTACTTTAAAACAATAGCTCATGCATAACTCTTTTACTGCACATTCTTTTTTAAACTCACGGAGACAAGTCAGTGGACAAAAGATTAGCAAAAATTGTTGCAGCTTATTTATATTATAGTCATTGCCAACTAGATAAGGTTTTAAGCAAAATGGATGATAGCTTGGTATTGAAAATAAGATTATGACTTTGACAAGTTTTCATGACTGTAACGAACTCACTGCAAAGATGGCAATCAAATACAGCATCTTACAGAAACAATCAGAAACCATGCGTAAAACAGATAATCTTCTAGAGCCACCACTAATAACAGTTCAAAGTAGTTAAATTTTGAGGACCTTTAAGCAAAGAATCATAAACAATTGGAGACTGGACTACGTTCACGAGAAGATCAGAATATAATGCATACGCATAACATGCTATGCAGAACTGTCAGCATGGAGAAATGGTAAAATGCAGTTTCACACATATCAACTTGCAATTAAATGCTTAATAATAAGGAGTTAATGGTCAGATTAAAGCAAGTAAAAGAAACTATGAGAACAGGAGATGCAATTATTGGTGCAATAGGACATTCACATCACCAAACAACTGAAATTGTTCTATGTTTTCCATAGCAGGACTAAAAGCATGATATACTTTGAACCACCAGCACAAATTTGTGGCCGGTCCTTAAGAAACAAGAGGTACCATGCAGGCTACCTGACAGAATTTTCAGTAATAAAGAAATTTCACACTGTTGATACATTTTAAAAAAAAAAAATTTTCCATGTCTTAGAGAAAGGGAAAAGAAATAGTTTGTAATAACACACTTAGATTCTTGACAAAGTTAATTGATTCCGCATCCAATCCTCATCATTTGTACAGTTTTTGTCCATTATATGTTCCTATTCACAACTCAAAAAAAATCTAGAGAAAACTACCTTACTTTCCAGCAAAATTTGAAATCATTCAAGATTTAGTTGGTGAATATGATGAAGTGAAAGGGTTCCTGAATTTCCTCTTTAAGGGACAAGTTACATGAAATAGCTGCAGATTAAGCAATGTACCTTAGTATAAGCAATTGTTTTATAATTAGGCAACAAAAGCAAAAAAAACAATCAACATTTCAATAAGAATCCATCTAGGAAAAGCTTTCAAATATTATATGTATTTGACCTACTTTAAGGCCAACTCTGTATGCTGGAGCCGATAGTAAAAAACAGCCAAGTCTCCATAACTTTTCATTGTATCTGGGTGATCAAGTCCAAGCTCCCTCTCATTTATATCCAAAGCTTTTTGCTGGTAAATTGTAGCCTGAATGGTTGAAAAATGGTAAAAGACAACAACAGAGTTAGAATGTTAGTAGGTGATTGATAGCATCATACGTAGACAGAAGTGCTTTGACAGTACCAAGAGGTTTTACATCACACTAGTTAAATCAGAAATATATTTAGTAGAAGCCATGCATTTATATTTTAAGCCGTCAAAAGCTAGGTTGAACATAGAAATATGTCATTGAAACTTTACATCAATACCATGCTGGCCCTAATTGTGCAACTCAGGTGGTTCTTCTGCAGATATTTAGATAGACATGGATTTCTGCATCATTATATTTTCTACTTTGTTTGAAACGCTCAAGCTTAAAATATCATAAGATAATCAAAGGCACCAAAGATCTCCTACAACCGAAAAAAAAAAAAGAACCAATTTTTTACATGCTTCTGAGTGACAAGCAACAAATAAAGCGTAAATATGGTATGTATTTCCTCCAATTTATCTTTACTACAGCAAGTCTCATTCTAATAGATATTCCATTAAAAATGTGTAATGGTTTCTAGAGTTTGGGATCTGAGAACTGAAATTTGTTGAAGAAAAAATACATGAAGGAATTGGGGGTAACCTTAACATTGTCTAAAGATTTCCCTTGTATTTTTTTTTCTTTATGGAATGACTAACTTAAGGTACTTGTCATGAAACTTATTACCAGTGGAGAACAATGGTGTCACCTTTTCTAGTGATAAAAATACATGTTCGGTTTCTTGCTTGATCTCATACAAGCACATATTCATCTTATTGTTTATTAAACACAAACATTAAAAGTAAAATATCCAGCTTATTCCTTGTTGACCAGCCCAATAAACCAATTAATCTAATTCAGGACAGTCGTGGCAAGGAATGACATGCTCCATATTTCCTGTTAATAGTTTCTTCTTGATGTTTAAGTGTAAGCTGCACTCTGTATCCATCAAAAGGACTTGCCAATAGATCATGGGTTCCAGTATTACATAGTACCTGATTAAAATCTCCAGTATGGTAGAGAACCACGGCAAGAAGACTATATGCTCCAGCTGTCATTCTATGGTAAGGTCCACAAACTGATACAAATCTGGAGAGTGCCTGCAGAGTAGAGAATTGAGATTAGTATTGTCAAATATTCAATCAAGTCAAAATAAATCAACGAGTTGCAAGGGAGATGGAAGTTTGCGTTACCTTAGTTCCATAATTAACAGCATCCTCCAGTTTACCTTTATCCAAGGATGTTTTTGATGATTCTAACAAAGTACGCCCATCAGCTGATGAACACGCAACATGCTGTAGGGAAACTTAAATGGTGTAATGAAAGATTAGTCAAAACAACTTTTCACTTGAGTTGTGGAGTTTTATACCTTGTATACAGGTATCATGCTTATAATGTCTGTCTTCTTAAAAGGGCAAGATGTATCCATGTCATAGTCCCTGGGAACAAGCTCCAGTCCAACCTGAACAAAGGTGACATCTTTTTGCATAACAGCAGAAGATTGTGAAGTTCAGGTCTACCATGAAGTCTTAGATTGAGACAATAACATACCTTATGGCAAAGCCCACGAAGAATGGCAAACTTTCTGAGGTCATGGCTGTTTTCGTCCTTCCATTTCCACCCAAATCTTTTAAAAAGAAAAGTTTCCACCCACTTCCATTTCAAGTTATCATCATTAGTAATTTCTGAATCAGCATTTCCTTCAGGTGCTGTTCCTAGCAGTACATTTAAACATGATGCAATTGACAAGGCCAAGTCACCAATATTATCTACTGCTGCTACAACTGCATCCAATACATGTTTGTAAGCTCGAACAACCATCTCATGTATACAGAGTGACTGTACATGAGGAAGTTTGTCTGCAAGCTCAACCTGGCATGACAACAGAAACCACAAATTTTCAAGCTTTTGTTTCTTTGAATGTTAACAAATATTATATAATCTTAAGGTGGAGATATTCACCTTTGATTACTCATCGAAAACTGGCGTTCATCCATATAATTCATGTTATAAGATGGTAACACAAATTCATTTAAAAAATTAACTAATGGAATTTTTCATCAATAACAATGCACTTTTATCTAAGTCCAACATGAAATTGTTATAGGATTTAAACTTACTTCTGCTAATATTTTTATGAATCAGAAGAAGTCATCTTTACCTCATCTGTTTCATAAAGATAGTTCAGCTACTTGAGGGTAAAAATGCTGGAAATATTATACAGAAACTGTACTTTGCATTATAAAATGTCCCGATAATGCAGCACAGCCCACCCATCAGCAGATATAGATTATTAAAGAATTCTAATACTCATTCCAAATTTACACCTTGAACTTTTGTAAACATTTAGCATTTCGGTTCAAGAATGCTAGATGCAGATGTTTCTGAGGGTATAAGCTTCTGATGGTTATCTGCTACAATGATATTATTATCTTAATAACATGCTCTAACTTTCTGGTTTATTGTCTTGATATAAGCCTACGCACCTTATCACAGATCTCACAAGTCATACATGTATAATTTTCATACATTCAGCAATGCAATAGGTGTCAGATAATGGAAAAGTGTAAACGAATCAATATCTTACCACACGTCCTAAGGAGCAGATTTGCAAACCCCTTGTATGCATGAAATCAGTCAGCGTCCTTCCGTCGACTGGTGAAAGTTCAAGGGAGCCAAAATCAGCCACCTGTCAGTTTGGTAAAACCAATATTTGATGAGTCTCCGTCAGTTCAACAAAAGCAATAGTTGCTGGTCTCAAATTCCGTTAACTGGGATTCCAAAAAAACTAATTAGCTCTTATATAAAGAATGCAGAAAATGTATAACAACACACCAGTTTTGGAAGTGCACTATCAGCATAGTACTTGTGTGCCATCTCAATCAACTCGCTGGGTGACTGCCAACATGAATGAAATGAAAGAAATCAAGTTTTAAGAACATTAACCTCTTGGACCACAGATATTTATTTTCCCTATGGTCAGACCATTAAAATGTCTAAAGACTCGCCTATCATACATCACAGACACGACTAAATGTTCAGCAAATATCCTCTAGCAGATGTTATTAGTACATGAATTACTGCAAATAATATGAAGTTATTGCACTTATGTCTTCATTTATAGAGCAATGAGCCAACCTTTAGATGAAGACCAGTCTCTGAATCTTTAAGGCGCAAGTATGATGCTTCAGAAAGCAGTTGTTTCCACATCGTTTCTTTTGCCTCATCTAACTCTTCAAGCTCTTTCTTTCCCACATCAAAACCATCATTTGCAGCTTCTTTTCTTTGCTCAGAATTTGAGTTTCGGTCATCTAGTTTTTTCTTAATATCCTTGAGCAGTCCACCACTTTTTCCAAGACCCTTTACAGCTTGCTCAACTTTATCTTCACCTTTTTTAGAGTCAGTTTTACCTGCACTTTGATTTTGTAAATGTTGCACCCAACAGGCCCCCAGCTCCCATCTAATTGGTTTTGCTTGTTTGGTGTCCTCCGCTTGCAACCTCAACAAACCTTCACCTAACACCTTTCTTACCAATGACCTAGATGTACGTAAATCTTCGAGGTCTGTAGTATTTGATCTTTGAACCAGTCTGGATGCTTGGGATGTTGGTGTCTTGTGCAACAGCATTCTTAAGCTGGGATGAGATGATCAGGCACTGGTTACTGAAAGCATCATTATAATGACAGAAAAAATGTAACAGTAGCTACAGTTATTACATTTAAGCAGTGGCAGACCCACAATTTGGGGGGAGGGGGAAGAGGGGGCAAATTTTGAGATAGAAATATTGTCTATAAATTATCCTCTAAAATAACGGTTGCAAGTGAAAATTGACTGAATTCAACGGAGTACATTTTTCTCTAGGGACAGAAAAAAAGTTTACAAGAATTGCACCATGGGTATAGTGCTACATATGGTTAAAACAAGAAAATGATCCTCTATGGATAAGGCAATAACACAAAGAACTACAATAAAATTAACCAAAGTATATTTAAATAATTTTTTAAAAAAAGGGACTCAAATCTTTCTGAGGAAAAGTCAGGGAGTGAAAAAAAACTAAACAAAATTTTTTTTGGCGGGGGGGGGGGGGGGGGAGGGGAGGTGGGGGGCAAGGCGAGTAAGGAGTTCAACGAAAATTCTATAATATTATACAGGTTGAAAGGAATTTCTAAAAAATTGCAGTGGAAGACCACCCTTGCTTCCCCATCTACGTCAATGCATTGTGGAAAACAAATACAACATATGCAACTAAAAAGTGGTATGCTGGATGCATGTAGCCATGCTATGAGATCTCATGCGTCTGCAAGTTCCTAACACCTTTAATACAGACCACTGTATCAGTTATTTGTTTGTTGTATATTAACTATTAAGAAGGAAGTTTGTTGCTTTCATTACGAGTAAAATTGATATTTGAAAACAATTGTTGCGTTCTGGGAGTTAAATAAAAATAGTAATAAATACACTCACATACATACATATTAGCAAACAGAGATTCAATTACAGCATTATAATAGCCTTCTTGAACCAAGTAATTGTAAAATTTCAAATGCCATAGGAACCATATGCTGATGTAAAGGAAGAAAAAGTCTCAAACCTTGAAGCCAGATGAGAACTAACCTATTCACGTTCAAGGCATTTGCACCTCCCTCAGGCTGGTCCTCAATGTCAATGTCCTGGGAAACTAAACTATCATTCTGATTTGTTTCAGCTACCACTTTCACAATAGCTGTATAGCCACAGTGTTTAACAACCACAACACCCAGAGTAGAAGTATCCTGCAAGAAAGCAATATAAGCTCATAATGAAAATATTGTTTTCTAAGAAAATGTCAAGAACAAGAATCACATCCGCAAAAATTCAAGAAAATGAAGAACAGAATGGATTGCCAAACTGACATGAACAGTTGCACTTTCATCTGCAGTTATCCCTTTGAGTAAATTTCGCTTAGTAAGTTCCTCTTGTGACATCCCAAGAACACGAATCCCATCATTCTTGCAATCTAATTTCATACTTGCATCAGCCATGTCCTTTGTCACCGTAATCAGTAGATCTCCAAGTTTCTGTTCATTTTCGATGGAACTAGAACCAGTTGGCGAGTGCTGATTATTTTCCACAAGATTCTTTATTGCTGCAACAGCCTTAAAGACTGAAATGTCAACGAATAAACTGTGAAGTAGAAAGGCTTTTCTATCTCGAATTTGCCTTTCCTCTGCTGTCTTACACGACATTGCTGCCAAAATTGCAAATTCTTTCGCCCACTGCCTATTATCATGCTTCCCATCTCTTCCTTGTCCACCTCCATGTCCTCCCCAGTTCTCATCTTCAACAGGCAATGGAGGAAATGTTGATGGCTGCTCAGCAACAAAAGGTGGTACAACCCATGTATTCGCTCGAAAACCATAAGGAAGATTCCCAAACTGAAAAGGACAATTGATGTTACAACAAATTGTTACTCTGCTACATATTTCATCTCAAATATTTCAGTCAAGACAAAACAACTTACAGAAAATACTTACTTTATTGTGCTCACTGAAAGCTTTCATCAGAGATTTATATGCCTGATAACCACAAGATAAAGTTGCAAAATAAGTAAGCAAGCTTAATCAAAGCATAGAAGAAAATAACACTAAGGCACTTCAAGCAAGTAACATGAATCATGGGCTGGACAAGTCCAAAGTTCTCAACTTGTGCCTCAAGTTTGTTAGCGCAAACATCTTCATGTTCGTAAGGTGATAAACAATGTCAGTACTACTAAAATTTGCAGTTTTCTCCACCCTTCTAAACATTAGTTTTTTTTTTTTATTTAACATTGTAAAGTTAGTAATTGTAGTAAAGTGTAACTCTATTTTTATTCCTTTACTATTATGTTCTTGATATTGAACTCTATTTTTATTCCCTTACCATTATGTTCTTGACATTGTTCAAGTGTAAACATATGTAACTTTAACAATGCTCAATAGTTTATAGCCCATTGCTCTAGAAATCAATAGGGTAAATGGCATTAGAAATGCTGATACTCACAGCATCAAAAACTCTGCTTAATTGTTGGAGTAATCCGACCAAAGAATGTCTCAGAAGAATTCTTCTTCCAGCTGGATAAAACCCTTTCTCACAAACAACAATTGTTGTTGGCTTCCCACTACAAACCCTAACCTATAAATAAATTCAAAAGTCCAATTCAATCATATATAACTATAAATATTTAAAGGAAAAATTAAAAAAGAAGAATTTATCAAATTACATCAATTTGAAAGAAATCATCTTCGGATTTATCATCCAGAAATGGTCGATTTGATCTCCTAATATCTGCAACAAAATTTTTTTTTTGGGAAAATGAAAATTAATTCAAGGAACACATACAAAATTGGAACGAAAATAGCAATAAATGACTTAAAAAAAACAGAAATAAAAAGAAAAGCTTACATTGGATGGGAGGAGTGAGATGAGAGAAGGAGAAAAAATCATAGAACTGCCCGAGCCGCGGCGGAGGACACATTATAGCTGCGGAAGCATCGCCATTTTTCTCCGCCAAGTCTCCGTCATTGGAAATACTTTCGGGCTTCGCCGGCTTGAGTCTCTCGTGGGGAGAAACGGTGCCGGACTTCTTGCCGGAGAGTTTGGGCTTAGAAGTCGATTCGGAAACGACATTTTCCGGGCCGGGTTCGGACTCAGCAGAACCGGATTCCTTGTGACCTGTATCCTTTGAACCGGGTTTACCGTCAGATTTGGGCGAAGAAGATGTAACGCCAAACGACGTCGTGCAAGAGACAATGTCGAGTAGTCGTCGAATGTGGGCCGCGGCTTGGCTTTCAGTGTAGTCCTCTGCAAATTTTATTGGATAATGACCCCTACAGTTTGTAGTAATGGACTATAGCCACAATACTTTTAATGAAAAATAATTTATATCAAAAAGTCTAAATATTTATACATAATTCATGAGTATCCTTTCCTTCTTGGATAGATTTTAATGTTTTCAAGGATTATTATTAGTCTAGGTATAATTAACTACGAGATAAATTTTATAAAGCATTTTTTTACACTTTTTGAATTGTAAAGTTCAAGAGTTTTTCCATCCTTATCATATTGTATGAAATTAGTACAATTTGATTAATTCATATAGGAAAAGGAAGGAATAAAAAATGGAAAGTGCAAATTCTCAACAAATCAAATTTGAAACTTTAAATGATGAGCTAACACTTTGAAACTAATCAATTGGATGTTATCTCGATCAATCTTTTTTTGCATATACATAAAAGCAAGACTTGAGACAAGAAAGCATCTTTCTTATTTGACAATTAGAGGGTATATCTTAATTCAGATTATACAAAATCTCACAATTAAAGAAATAATTACTCCATATGAACATTTCAATTTGTTTTCTTACAGAAAAGAAACATGTTGGAATTGTAAATATTGTAATACCTTCAACAATAGTGAGGTGGCATGGTTTCAGAGAGGTGATTTCGACGGAATCCTTCAGCCGTGAACCTCTGACCTGGTCGGAGGCACAAACCTTTGGTTAATTAATCTTCCTGGGAGATTTATTGAAGTATTTCCGCGTGATATTTTTATCCTGGAAATTTTTTTAGTAATTCTTCTAAAAAACTTGATTATGCATCGGAAAATATTGCCTTCAAAATATTTTATGAGAAATTGAAATTAAAGTAAGACATTCAACTATAACTCCATAGAGCATTCAACAACACAAAGTACAACTTTTGGCGTACATCTGGGAAATGCGGTTGCTGGTTTGCATAATCATGATCCCAAGTTCGAACATAAAACTGGTAGAACATTCTGTTTATTTCTTTTTGGTGAGTTGGCAACCGATTTTGGCACACTGAGAAATTTAATCTCATAATATTTTGATATTAATCGCCAAAATTACATTTTGCATCATAACTTTTTTTTAGTCTTTAATTACAATTGACGTATGAGGATAGTGTAGAAAAATTTATTGTGACATTAAAATTATGGTTTTGACAATATCATTTAGGGATAATATGAGAAACTTCCCATAAGGTCTCTACAAATTTTACAAAGCTTCCCTTAGGTTTCAAAAATTACAGTCACCTCCCTTGCTTTCAATGTTTACGCTTCAAAATAGCCTAATAGGCTACCAATTCCTTCAAATATCCCAAACTATCCTTTTTGCAAAAAAGAATAAAAAGGAATGATAAACAAAATTAATTTTGTTGATTGCCTTTCTTCCAACACCAAACCCAACAAACTCTTTCTGCCAAAAATAAAAGTTTGAAAAAAAAATCCAACTATGATGATTGCTTTCTTCCAAGCAACACTACCACAAAAGATAAGCGAACACCCCAATCTGAATCAAAATCAATTCCAATAATTCTAGCACCCAAAATACCGCAACGTGATTTATGTCCAGCAGCCCCAGCCCCTACACTTCCTACACAAGTCAATTAAACTCGTCACTTGGTGCTAAATTAAATAAAAATCAACCTCAAATTTTACCCAAAACTAACACTTTATCAATAATCAATTGCGCCCCTTTCCTCTTCCTCTCTTTGCAACCTCCCTTTATTTTTTTTAATCACCCATTTCTAGAGCCCATCCATGTCTCAAGTTCTTGACTTTTCACATCACCAAGTTTTATCACCCATAATCAACTAAAATTAGATAAAACAAATAAATGCAAAAAAAAAAAAAAAATCAAACCCATTACACTTAGAATTAAAAGGAAAAAGTGGATAAGCCTAATCATGTTTGCAAACAGGAGATGGGTATAGAGAATAAAGAAGAAGGAAAGGAGGGAGATAGATATGAGCAAGCGACGATAGATAGAATTTGGACCTAAACTAGAAGAGAAATATTAGGCAGAAAGGAAGGTGGTGGGAATTTGGGCAAAGAAGGAAATGGAAGAAAAAGCAAGAGAGAGAGAGAGAGGACGAGTCAACTCTGGGTTTCCTTAGAATTTCTGAAATTTTTCCAAAAAATGTCATTAAGTATCCTATATAAGGGTAGTAGAGTACTTTTGTAGCAATAGGGGAGGTATGTATAATTTTAAAATATTAAGGGGATTTTTGTGTAATTATCCCGATCATTTATCTTGGCACAAGGCAAATTTTGATAACTTTGAACATACATTTCAATTATCACGATCTACTCTACTCTTATTCTAGCATATTCCTATTCCAAATGGGGTCTAACTTGAACAATCGGGAAACTAACGGCGACTAAACCACTATTGAATCAGATGGGTGCACTATGTACTCATATGGATTTGGGAAGCCTATTCCTATTCTAAGGGAAGGTCCAATTGGACCAATCGAAAAATTAATAGGAACTGAACAACAATCAGACCATATGGATGCACTATGCACTCGTATGGATTTGGAAAAATCACATATAATGGCAAAATGATGAAAATTAAAATTTAAACTATTGACCTCTCATTCCACCAAAACTTAAGTCTATTTATATATGGGACCAAATCTTGCATTAAGTGATTGACTCACGTGGCATGCTTAATGCTGAATGTTCATGTATCACAACCATTGGTTTTAGAGGATCAGGTCCTCACAATTTCCAGTTGAAACTAATTTGCCTCTAAGGTATAAATAGGTAGAGACATAACGTAAATAGATTTAGACAAAGTATAAATTGGTAATATTTTTGTGTAAAAAATAAGCAAATGATAGTATAAAGTGATTATTTTATCCTGAACTGGTCTGAAATGGAATTTGTGAGGCCCTTATCCTGATTATTTTGGTGTAACCTTGCTGATTATCTAAATTCACACAACTTTAATAACTCGAATGCTATAACTAACTCCCGAGTCTTGATCAATGCAAAATCGACATGATGTACCCTTTTTCATTATGGGGCAGCAGGACGATGGATCAAAGATTGTGTTTAGGAGGCTCGGTATTTCATTCTTGAGGAGTTGGGGAATTTCCATTTCCCCTTCACTCATTGGAGGGGTCAAGGAGCGGAGGGGTTGCTTTGGTGCAGAAGGCATGGCGTATGGAGTTTGCGTTTTGATAACAGAATTGGAGTTGGACTGATCGGTACCTGACCTTACCAATAATAGAAGAAGTTGATACACATTGAAGATTTGTCCTAACATGGATGGAACACTTAGGTTCTGTTTGATAAAATTGCATCTGAATTCTGAATTCTGAATTCTGAATACTGAAATAATTAATTTACTGAATTTTAAACACGAAAAAGAAATATATGAATGTCTGAATTTTAATACTGAAATTATTTATACTGTTTGATAAATATTTATAAATTATAATTGAATACTTAATAAGTAAATTGTACAATTTTGCCCTTATATCTTTTCATCAAAAAAGGAAATAGAACCTATGATTTAATTAGTTTAAAATTGTTAGATATGAAAATGACATTATTTATTTTTAAATCAAATTAATATAAAAGATGAAATATATCATATGAAGAGTATGGAGATGATTTGAAAGCCATTAAAAAGGGAGAAAAAAGAAGTAGAAAACCGTTAGATAGAGAATATCATATTCTTTAATTAGATAAGGATTTTGAATAAAGAATATCAGGTTGTTTAATTAAATAAAAATTTTGAACATAATTAACAAATGAGAGTAGATTTGATAGATAAGATAAGATAGTTGAAATAATTTTATTGATTCTTATCAGAATTAAGCATTCAATTACGATTCTTGTGCTGAAAAAAAATATACACAAGTTTAGCAAATGAATTTTTATTTATCAAACACCCAAAACATCTGAATGTCTAAAACAGTTCAGTTTCAGCATTTTTTTATGTTATCAAACAAACCCTTATTCTATGTGAAAACTACAAATACCAAATAACCTTAGTTTCTTGCTCTATGTGAAAACTACAAATGCCAATTAACATTTTCATTGAAAGCTACAAATGCCAAATAACATTTTCAATTTTTCCGAGTATTCTTGCTCTATAACATTAGTTTTTCATTGGAAAAAATAGGAATAATTTTAGAAACTTCTCCTGAGATTTGTGACAATATCATTTAACATCCTTGAACTTTAAAAAAATCATTTGTCTCCCCTATATTTAACTTTTTAAAGCATTGTGAACCTATTTCAAAATATATTATTAGAAAACTCATTTGTGGATAGAAAATATGATTTTATTCTAATATTGCCATTTTGTTGTGAATTATTTTGTTATCATAAATAAATCTAATTAATCCCTTAACTTTTGAAAACTTGGCAAATATGATTTTTTAATTAGGAATCACAAAGTATTAACAAGGTTGAAAGGCCTATCAATAATTTTTGTGTCATTAATCTACATAAGAAATATAATGAAAATTTGAATTCTAAATTGTTTAGAAAACTCATAAAATTTACCCAACAATTTTACAATGAAGTAAATAACATTATGCATCTTGAAAATGCCTCAAATAAGTTTCTATGTATATAGTTAATAATTTTATCTTTTTTCAAGGTTTTTAGGCCATTGATATGGACAAAAAACTTGTATACAATTCATAAATCCTTAAATTCACCCACAAACACTTTCAAATTAGAAAATAAATTTTGCTTTGAAGAAACCTCAAATGAGCTTGTAAACATAAACATTTTGTCCTTTTTTTTGGTTTTCAAGCCATTAATCTAGACAAGAAAATTGGAAATTCTAAAAAATTCTAAAATTTAAAAAATTCCTCAAATTGACCAAAAATACTTTAGAATAATCGAATAATCTCAAAACTATTTTTTTGGTATGGTAAAATACCTATTATTATATTTTGGTCAAAATTATGCATTTGCACTGAGTGTCTTTATTTTCAACCTACATGCTTTCAGTTTTGAAAAATAAAAAGGACAACAAAGGACTTTTTAATTTGGAATGAAAATATTGTCTTTATTCGAAAATGAATTTTTAAATAATATATTTTAAAATGGGTTGACAATGTTACAAAAAGTTAAAAGCAAGGGAAACAAATGATATTTTTTAAAGGGGAGCAAAGTGAACTATTAGAAATGTCAAGGGAGGTTTTTGAAATTATCCCTTGAAAAAAGCCCAAGATAATTAGGTTTCAAAAGCCTTTGAACTTTTAAATTTGAATTTAAATCTCGTCCAACTTATCAAAATTATTATGTTATTCAAAGAGTCTAAACTTTCTCTCTAAATCAAATTTATAGATCACTAAAATTTTAAATCTACTAATTTCTCAAGCAATTGTAATGGAGTTGATATCTTTGACTAGAAAATATACGACCTAATCATGACATTATATCTAAATTCACTCAATTCTTGTTTAGATGTTGGGACCATGAAAATGACATGATTGTGTTTTATCTAAGGTTTACAATCCATCAGTTCGTAGTGTAAAATGCAATAACATAACGTAGCATGAAGCATGAAGAATGTTACATTGCTCTACGAATATATAAGAGTAACTGACCTCGTGTGACAAGGAGTAGTTGGTTAAGTGGCATGTCTCGACATGGACCGCTAAAAGCTTTCTCACATCTAGAATTTTATCCGTCGATATTCCCTGCAGTAAAATGTCATTCATTTGGTGCACTCTGGAAGTATTAAACGGAATTGGCAGAAGCCCAGAACTTGTACTTACCTTAAGTGTCACTTGTGAATCCTCAGGTGTATCTACTGTTATTTCTATAACTGTAGGCAATACTGCAGTAAAGGCCAAAAATACTAAAATTAATCAAGAATATGCTAGTTCTTTGGAAAACCAAAAAAAAAGAAAAAAGAAAAAGATAGAGGTTTGTTTGAAGTAATTGCATTATCAGCTGATTTTGACCAAAAAAAAGGGGGGGCTCTCGACCAATGACAAGACAATGTTGTATTTAGAACCACAAGCAAAAGTGAAAATAGGAACTCAACTTAATGTATTTCCTATGCAATTTTCTAGGATATTGGGAAGTTTTGGTTCAGAAAATGTTTTGAGGTTCTTGATGCAATTGTTCTTATGATGAGAGAGAATACCATGGCATTATGGTAATGTGGAAGTGAAACTAAGAAACCAATTCATTCAGTCTCAAAGACAACACTAGCGGGACAAAACCATAGCTGAAGAAGGAAATTAGTGGAGAAAGATGATAATATAAGACAAGACAAAGATAAGTAGAATAGCAAACCTTTCTCTTCTTTCTTCTTCCTCTCTCCTTTAGCTTTGTGGGGCTTAGCCTTCCCACTTTTAGGAGCCATTTTCTTCTTGAAAGGATTGGATTGCGAATAACTTTTGTTTAGTTTACAACAATCCTATAATCAGCTTTACTTCACTACACAATCCATAATACTTACGTTATTACAATATAAATTGCACCATAAACCCTTCTGTTGTTGTTGTTGTTGTATGACAGCCGCCAATATAAATGCACATAACCCAAATTAGCTAATGCTCAACTTTTCTGGGCCAAGCTAAATAGTTCAATTCAAGTGAAATAAAAATAAGAAACGAAGTAAAAAAGCACAATCAGTAGTTAAAAATGCTTCAGAAGTTCCAAATTTAGCTAGTCTGGAAGGTGCAAATGCGGGTTTGTAATGCTACAGTGTATAGTTTTTCGTAGTAGAAGCGAACTTTGTTATAAACAGAGACACCATAAAGGAAGAAATACAGGGAATTAAAAGTATCTAGGAGGAGAAGGGGGGCCAAAAAGATAGAAAGAAAGAGGGAAAACTAGCCCTCGTATTTGTTATTGTGAGTTTTGAGAGAAGCATAGGATAAAAGAAATGAGAAATAGAATGAGAAGAGAGTTAGAGGTGGATAGGATAAGATGACCCAAAACCATGGCACTTGTGTTTGTCACAACCAGATGAATGTCAGGTTGGCAAATTGGAGCCTCTCATTTCACTAACTGATCATTTAGACGTCTGTCTACAATTTTTTTGTGCCTTTGTCATTGGAAGATTGGGTGCTAGAAGCTGCTGAAAAAATTCAAGAATGAGTTATCTTCTTGTCATTTGACCTTTTGCTCGAGCATTTGGAAAAGTACAAATGGAGAAGTTTTTCATTTTGGCTTGATTTGAGAAACAGTAAGTGCTTAATTGGATAAAATGATGGACTTTTTGCGCTTAAGTTTGTGCCACGTTCATATCTACATTTGTTGTTGGCCGATAAGGATAACTTTGTCCTATTTGTGTATTGATGCAATCGTGAATTTGTTCCTCAGGATATTGAAAGTCTTAGATCTAACAAGGTTTGCTTTTAGCTTATTAAACTCAGAGGACCTAAACCTTGTACTTGTTGAACAGTTTCAAGAATCAATATTGAGATAATGCTTGAAATTGTAGAAACAAATTTATGCCAAAACTGTGTAAAGTCAATAATTGAAATGGTTCAAAAAAAAAAAGATAAGGATAACTTTGTCCTATTTGTGTATTGATGCAATCGTGAATTTGCTCCTCAGGATATTGAAAGTCTTAGATTTAACAAGGTTTGCTTTTAGCTTATTAAGCTCAGTGGACCTAAACCTCGTATTTGTTGAACAGTTTTCAAGAATCAATATTGAGATAATGCTTGAAATTGTAGAAATAAATTTATGTCAAAATTGTATAAAGCCAATAATTGAAATGGTTATCATAGCTTCTGATAGGAAGCGTAGCTCAAGGAAAAGGGTTACACAAATAATTTCCTGAATACGAATCAAAGATTCGAAAGAATGAGAAGGAAACTCTCTATCTATTGGAATTTCTAATGGAAATATATGATAGAAATGATAGTTGGATGAATAAAATGCTTAAAAATACCAATTTATAGGTTAGGTCTTTCACTAAAAATAAATAAATATATTGCGTAAAACATAAAACGAATTCCTAGTCGCAAACAAATGCGCAAAGGATCCGGCCTCGGATCACAAGCCACAAAGGACTGGATTTGAAACTGGATCTGGTTGGCCTCAAGGAGCTAGGCTATCCTCTCACGGTTCCCATCCTCTCCCGAGAGGGACCACAAACTGGATCAAGGTCAGAAACGACCTCACATTCTGCCATCGAACCGGGGCTTCATTTCTTGTCCCACAAGCACTCCATTTTTGCCCAAAATTGATTAGAAACACGTTCTGTATCAGTTTTGTTTTTGGTGTTTTTGAGCATTGGAAAATCAGTTGGATCTAGGATTACAAATAAGTCGAATCGAGTCGAGTTTTAGTTTAAATGAATTGAGTTTCGACTTAGTTCTATAAAATTTGACGAGTTTTCAATATAAAATTCGACTTTGAACTCTATTCAACTCAAACTTAACTTCATGAAGTTCAAAATTGAGTTCGAGTTAAAAAAAAAGAAAATGATTATTTTATTTTTTAAAAATGAATATATATGTAATTTTACTATTAAAAAAGATTATATATATATATATATATATATATATATATATAAACGAGCTGACTTGCAAGTTAACAAGTTGCATATCTTTGAATTCGATATTGACCAAGTTCAAGTCGAGCTTTGACTCGAGCTACTTGCAATCGGTTTGCAAGCGAGTCGATTTATACACAGCCTAATTGGACTAATTGAAAGGCAAACTATCACCGAGTTAGCTAAATTTCCCATGTGAAACGTGAAGACAGATTTCATTGTCCTTACTTATCTCTCCAGCTAGCTTCAAGGACAATTTTGCTTTTCGGTCAGCAATAATTTGATCGATCCATTTTGTAATGTTAGGATTACAGAAGATCAGTCCTTGTTTCATTTCCTCGTGAATAAGATAGAGAAAGTGCAACCTGTCATTGCTGAGTTTGCTCTTCCAAAAACGGTATTCAAGTAGAACGCTAATTAATTTCTTTCTATCTCTGAAAAACACGGTTCCAACTCTTTAATGTAGAATGCCTTATACTCCCTCTGTCCCACTTTGATAGTCCTGTTTTTCTTTTTCGTCTGTCCCAAATTGTAATCCACTTTTCAATTGAAGAATGTAGTTGTATTTTAATTTTCCTAAAATACCTTTATTCAATGTAAGTTGTTGTTACTATAAACCTATCTCATTTAATGAAAGTTGATTCTTTTTTTACCATCAATTCAAGTTCCCATAAAGTTGTACTCTAATTAATGTAAGGGTATTTTAGAAAAATATCAATTTAAATTGATTGTTTCAACAAAATTAACTACTTTTTCTTAAACTGTGTGAAAAAAAAATCAGGACTATCAAAGTGGGACGGAGGGAGTAATGCTTTAGGGGCGTCAACTTTAACACAGCCAAATACCAAGCTAAAGGGCGTTAAAATTGAAAGTTGGTAATTCTCGTCTCTCCTGCATTTAGTACTTTTCCTCTTCACTGCACAGAAAAACCAACTAAAACTCAAAATTCTTGTCAGTTTCTAGATTTTCTACAAAGACCATTTGGTCCATACATCGTTTGAGTCATATGTTTTAGGGGAAAATACCGGTTTTCATCCCCAAATTTTGGGCACAAGACACATTTCGTCCCTCATCTTTCGGGCATGACACATTTGGTGTCTGAATTAACAATTTTTGACCAAATGTCATCCTCAGACGGCAATTTAGCCAACCTTTAACGGACCGTTAAGTAACTGGGGCTATCCGAAGCAAAATCAGGTGGAAAATAACGTTGTCTTCACTTTCCTTTTTTCTTTCACTTCAACAACTTTCTCTGCAAATTTCCAAGACTAAGCTCCTACTGAAAATTTCTCTGAGAGTAAACCCCCTCTTCCAATTATAAATATATAATTATAATTATATAATACATATAAATATTACTTATACAAATATTTTATATAATTATAATGCATATTAGATATTAAATTTAATCATTATATAACCTTATATTCATAATAATAAATATAATTATAATTATATAATTTATTAATATTATATACACATATATATTATAAGGGCTAATTTCAGAAACCTCCCCTAAATTAGCTTATGGAAAAATGGATAATTTATGGAGAAAAGCCACAAAGAGCTGGTGTTTTATTGGAGAATTGGTTTATTTTTATTTTATCTAATAAATAAATTTGTTTATGAAAAAATGGGTATTCTATTCTTATAATAGAGGAAAACCATAAAGAGCTAAAGTTTTATTGGAAAACGAGTTTATTTTTATTTTATTCGATAAATAAATTTATTTATGGAAAAATGGGTACTCTGTTCTTATAATGGAAGAAAGCCCTAAAGAGCTAATATTTTATCGGAAAGTGATACTTTACAGAAAGTGACCACAATTTGGTTTATGAAATTATCCAAAAAAAATTTAGAATGAATTTGTTTATTTAATTAAATAATTATTATATATATTTATATAATGCATTATATAATTATACTAATATTATTATAAAATATATAATTATAACTATATAATATATATAAATACTAATTATACTAATATATTATATGATTATAAAGTATATTATATATTAATTATAATTTTTAGTATATATTAGTATATTTATAATAATAAATATAATTATAATTATATAATATATCATTACTATATACACATATATATTATAAATATATGCACATATAATATACATTTATAAATATATTATAGTTATTAGGGTATAGTTATTATAGTTATTATAGTTATTACCCTAAATATATTATAGTTATTAGGGTATATACCCTAATAATATATTTATATATATTTATAAATGTATATTATATGTGCATATATTTTAACATATATGTGTATATAGTAATAATATATTTATTATTATAACTATAGTAATATTTACTAAAAATTATAATTAATATATAATATACTTTATACTCATAAAATATATTAGTATAATTATATAATGCATTATATAAATATATATAATAATTATTTAATTAAATAAACAAATTCATTCTAAATTTTTTTTGGATAATTTCATAAACCAAATCCCGGTCACTTTCTGTAAAGTATTGCTTTCCCATAAAAGACTAGCTCTTTAGGGCTTTCCTCCATTATATGAACAGAGTACCAATTTTTTCATAAATAAATTTATTTATCGAATAAAATAAAAATAAACTCGTTTTCCAATAAAACTTCAGCTCTTTATGGCTTTCCTCTATTATAAGAACAGAGTACCTATTTTTTGATAAACAAATTTATGTATCGGATAAAATAAAAATAAACCAATTCTCCAATAAAACACCAGCTCTTTGTGGCTTTTCTTCATAAATTATCCATTTTTCCATAAGCTAATTTAGGGGAGGTTTCTGAAATTATCCCTTATAATATATATGTGTATATAATATTAATAAATTATATAATTATATTTATATTTATTATTATGAATATAAGGTTATATAATGATTAAATTTAATGTCTAATATACATTATAATTATATAAAATATTAGTATAAGTAATATTTATATGTATTATATATTTATAGTTGGAAGAGGGGATTTACTCTCGGAGAAATTTGCAGTAAGAGCTTAGTCTTGGAAATTTGCAGAGGAAGTTGTTGAAGTGAAAGAAAAAGGGAAGTGAAGACAACGTCATTTTCCACCTGATTTTGCTTCGGATAGCCACATTTACTTAACAGTCTGTTAAAGGTTGGCTAAATTGCCGTTTGAGGATGACATTTGGTCAAAAATTGTTAATTCAGACACCAAATGTGTCATACCCAAAAGATGAGGAACGAAATGTGTCTTGTGCCCAAAGTTTGGGGATGAAAACCGGTATTTTCCCTATGTATTAGTATCATATTTTCCCTTCATTTCTTCACGAAATGTTAAACAAACAAAAAGTTTGCTGCTGCTAATTATTTCCAAGTAGAAAGTGGACTTGTGCATTTACATGATCTCGGTCAAGCAATTGTGTGTGATGAC